TGTGTGAGTGAGACCAGCATGGTCCTAAACGACACACTTCCTGACCTCCTGTATTCTTTGAAACACTCTATAGAGAAAATGAAGGTGAGGGATGAAGGAACTCGCTCAGCCTGAGGACAGCCCTGAGTCCTCTTTTCCAAAGTGTGGCACAACGGTCAGAGACTACGATGGAGTTTAAGAACGAGCTTCTCTGCTGCAAGACTCAACCCATTTCTAATCAATGCTGATGTTCTTGCGGGAAGACAAGCCAGTAGAGTTTAGAGACCTGGGTGGTATACTGATGACAGCAGCTGGTAACTCAGCTTCAAAGCTTGGGTTAAATATTACAGTGTGACAATCCAGTAGGATCAGAGGGGATGCGGCCATGCTCTGGAAATGATCAGGTGGATAAGCAGTGAAAACGGCCATTATTATTACCCAAACCCTCAAGTCCATTCAGGAAATAAAGGAGCGAAAGAGACACAGCTCCTAGCAGAAGGTGTCTGCTTCTGGGACAAATATAATCTTCTCTAAGGTCACAGTATGATTCGGTCACAGACAAGCAATCCTTCTTCAACTCAATAAATTTTCCCACTTAGTGAATTTGGACGGTGCAAAGACAGCTCTGGTGCAGATAAACAAACTTGTCCACAGCAGAACAAGTTAGCAAGAGCCAGCTCACCCTGGCCCGGTGTCATTTCTCCCTCCCTATTGCTATAAAAAGCTCCCCCATAAATTCTAAAGCCCCAGCTGAATCAATCATCAAACCAAATCCTGGAAGCCTATCTCAAAAACTAAGCAAAGTTTTAATATGAATGCCGCCCCTTGGCGTCCCCCCAAACTCAGATCTTTCCCTTCCACCAGGAGAGGTCAGTTCCCCAGACAACTGTAAGGAAGACAGAGAAGACTCCCAAGTTTTCCCTTCCCTGTAGTGAGTGATGGTGTGTTGTCTTTCAAGCGGATGGACTCCGCTTCTCACTCTCCTAGAATGAGTTATTTCCCAGAAGGCACCTCAGTCCCTCACATGACGGCACTCACGGAGACCTGCCGCACCATGTCCCAGGCATGTCTGGACATGATGGAACTATGCATGTGGAGCCAGCTTGAAGTCAAGGAAGAATGGGTTCACAAATCTGAAATGTCTGCTATAATGTACACTCACCAAATGTTGGCTTTTACTCATAGTTAGATAAGTTATTCAAAAAAAATTTTTTTTTAATTGAATTAACAGTCTCCCATCATCCAGGCATTTAGAAAGGTCCCGTGGAGAGCAGCAAGGTAAATATAATTTGATTTCTACCTTTACAAAGTATAGAATTCAGAGACAAAAGAAGACACGCAGGCCAAGAGAGCACAGCGTTAAATCTGGATAGGTCAAGAAAATATGAACAAAATGCGAGAGCAGCACTGTGGGAGACGATTCCTCCTGTCTGGTGAGCTGGGGCAGGTGGGACCCGGAGAACAGGGAGAATGTCTACCACGCAATAAGGCAGCAATGCCATTCCAGGGCAGGGGTAGCACTGAGGGGAGAGCTGGGGCCGGACAGCATGGGCCGCATGTGGGCAGAGTAGGCTGGGAAGAGAGACCAGTAGATGAACCCAAGGATGGAATGGAGACTGGGACAGGGGCTTCATGGCTTGCAAGTCAGGGAAGACCAGGTTAGAGGGCTGTAGGAGCAAACGCTGCTCCTGCTGGGCTGACGGTCATGAGGGAACGGGTACAAGCCAAAACAAACACAGGGCAGGGCAAGCAGGCCAGCATGGTGGGTTATGTGGGAAGTGAGGAAAGCCAGGCCAGGAATAGCCACCTCCCTGGGAGTGAGAACAGGCACAGGGCCCCAGAGGGCTTGGAGCACTGCTCTGCACGTCCCTTCTCTCTAGAAGGTGGGTGGTTAGTGCTTCTGCCATAAATCTCCCCCTGAGTACTATATGGAGACAGGGCTTCGCTGGAGGACAGCTGCACCACTAATTTTAGGTTTGCGCCGGAGAAGTCAAGCAGGGCAGGGAGGAGTCAAAGTGATGGTCCTGGGCATCTGCTCCCACAAAGGCATCTGAGAACAACACGCCAATAGCTCCCTAGCATTTCGAGGATGACACTCAGTAGGGCGATTCATGTCCTCTGACGTGGTACTTCATCTCCTTCCCGGAAGACCCCTTCAAACCCAGATTCTAGCATCCAAGTGGAGTTGAGAATTCACTGGGTACATCTTAGTTATTATTTGCAGGGATAGGAGTTCGTGGGAGAAGGTGAGTAGTGGCAGAAACTTCCCATCTGCATGCTCTCCACTGGCTCTGCTCTCTGATCTGAAGCAGCCAGCCCAGTATCCAGCGGTATTTGTATTAATAACAGTTAACAGTATTAGGGCACCTCCAAGCTCACGAGATTTTTATGCATTATTTCTTAATGACCACCACAAGGAGGCAGTACTTGACATCCACACTTCGACAAATGTGAAAGCTCGGTGAAGAAAGGTTAAATGACTCGCCGCAGAATCTACTAGAAAGAGGGCTACAATGCTGGTCTTCAGATTTCAGTGCCTTTGTCCTTACCTGGCTATGGGGGTGCTGGGAGTAAGATCGAAAACAAGGCAGCTGTGGGAAAAGAGTCCAAATGTGGAGGGAGCAGACAATTATTTAGCCTTTGAGAGGAAATAGCCATTCTACTGAGGAGAAAGATTCCTCTATCATTAAGCAAACTGTTCCACAAGTAGGAGCCATTTGGACGGCAACAAAAATTTAAACAAACTCTAAGTGCTTATGATCGTCTTACATGTGGTGGTTTAGAAATAAAACGCTGGAAACAACCCGTGTAAGACACTCCAGTGGTGCTTAAAGAGCTAAAGCTCGTGTATCAGACTGGGTTTAAATCCCAGCTCTTGCACTTAAATCCCAGCAAATCACTTAACTTCTTTCGGCTTCCATTTTTTTCACCATAATATTGGGGACAATAATAGCACCTGCCTCGCCGAGAAGACTCAGACAGGATAACTCCTGCTAAGAGCTCAGGACAGGGCAAGGCACAGCATGAAGGCCATGGCCATGAGAGCCACATGGTAGTGGCTGGAAGAAACACCTTCTCTGTGGAGGCTTGGTTTTCATCGGGCCTTGAGCTCAGGAAGAGGAAATCATCTTGTCCCCATTTTATAGAACAGACCAGAAATGCAGAAATCAGCCTGAGGTCCCTGAAAGTTTCGTTTTGTCAACACCCACCCCTCTGAGTCCCTGGTTTCTCCCATGGCCCCCTGATCGGATCTGTGCCTGAATTCAACTCACTTTGCAGCAAAAGAGCAAGAGACACAGCAACCTGATATGAGTCTCTGAGAAGGAGACTTCTGTGCCTTCTGGCTTATTCTGCCCCAGCTCGGCCTGAACAAGGAAGACAATAAAAGCTGTCAGTGCCCCAGAAGGGAGGAGTCTAGTGCCAAGGCTGGCTGGGAAAGCGTCCTAGAGAAGCCTTCCAAACAGCATGGCATGCGCATGGCAAGAAGACATAACTGGGTGACACGCCTACACGGATGGGCCCAGGGGACATCACACCAATTGTCACACAGTGTCCGGGAGGCAACCACATGCTCCTGAGCTGCCAAACAGATGAATGGACACACTGCGAGATTACAGGCGGTCTTGTCGATAGAGGAAAAAGTACAAGTTCACGGACTGATGACCACAGGACATGTTGAGACTGCAGATGTCAGCAGCAAAGGCCCACGCAGGACGAGAAACACTACATGTACCTACATCATACAAATCCAAACAAATCTAAATGGAAGTTTAAGAGGAACTAATGTACCACTACAGAAATTCAGGAAAGCTCCTGTTTATTGGTCACTGAGCTGGTGATCATGAAGTTCTCTATTACTAACTGAGGATCCCCTGGTAGAATTCAACCAACTTCCACCTGACAGAACACTTGATCTCCAGAAGTTTCTCCCCCCAGAAATGGTGACTCCCCCCAGATGGTGGTCTTCAAACAAAACCCATTTCCTGACCAAACCGAGTTTAGGACAGGGTGAATCATGGACCCATTTTGGATATTCCAGATGTGTTTGGGCTTCACAAAGGTTGAGAGAGGTCTCCCCACAGTTCTCGATGTATCTGATGAGGACTTTTTTTTACTGAAATAGAATGTATTTCACTCTAGGAAATGCTGGCGTGGAGAGCCACAGGTGAGGATAGATGCTAATGGCATTCCGGGGGAGACCCAAGAGAAAAACCGTCAGGAGGAACAACAGCCTAAGATAGATGCTGAGATGCTGAAAAATCTCACAGCCGGGCATGGAAATGCTACTCCGCCAAATGACCCCATATATCTCAGAAATTGGCTGAATTCTTCCTAATATTGTTTCAAGGTCCTTGCTGAGTCACCCTCATAAATGATGGATCTTAATGGTTCCAAATATCTCCTCATGTCTAACCATCTCTCCCTTTTTAGGTTTGTGATTCACGCCACTCCAGCAAGCAGCGCCAGAGAGAAGGGGCTGAGTTTCATTTTCCAGTCATAAAAGTACATCTCAAAACCAGCACGCAGCCATGATGGACTGTGCTAAGGCCCGGATCTCATACCAAAATTGAACTGGCCAATTCTAGAGATGCACTGAGGGGCGTCACCTGTGCCTGTCACCTCTAGACTGCCTCTTTTAAGGGCTAAGCAAACTCTGTAGAGTTACTATGAGCAAAACAAGGATATCTGGAGGCTTCAGACAAGAAACATGGGCTTTTGAGTCAGAAAGATCTAGGTTCAAATCCCAGCTCTGCCATTTCTTAGTATTGTGACCTTTGGATGAGGCGCTCTCCCCATGGTTTCCTCATCTGAAAACGAGGATGATAATAATATAGCCCTTCAGGGGCACCGTGTGGATTCGAGGAAATGAGGCATGGGTGGGGAGGGATGCCCATTGAAACACGATAGTGTTTCACTCAACTCACTCAACTCAGCTGCAAGCCACCGCGCGAGTACATGAGGCCTTCTCCAGCTCTGCATCTGCTACCTAAAGGGAAAAAGCACTACGCAAGTGCCCCTACCTGATTATTCGGGTGCGCTTCTGGGTATAAGGGGTGATGACCTTGAAAAGCAGTTCCATGGCTCCATTAATTCCCAGCATGGCTCCCGTGGTGACTGTGAAAGAACAAATCACAGTAGTTACTGAACCATCTAAACCAAGAATTCTTTTTGGCATTACAGAGTAGGCCTGAGAGATAGGGGGCTCCATCTCTTGCCAAAGGCCACTCAAAAGCAAAGACACTCGATGGTCTTTGCATCCTTGGTCTGGAAGCAAAGATCACCTGTAAAGCACACATTGCCTATTCATACTATTTTCTCAAAGGGGGCCCAAGCCATGAAATTATGTTTTTTCATTCCTGATGACCCCGTGTACCTCTTCATTGTGTTCTTACTCAGAATAGTCAAAGCCAATGTCAAGCAGAAGATTTTTCAGAAAGTAGATCTTTGGCTTTCCGTTCAAGTGCTTTCACCCATCATCAACTTGCCCTGTGATGCAAACACACGAGCACACGTACACTCAGGGACACACACACACACACACACACACGCACACACCCTGGTTCCAAGTTCCCCAACAGCTTTTGTAGTTGGATCTCCCATGACTGAGTCTCAGACTTGACTGTGCCCCCATCTACTAGCCCATCAAGGGAAGAATCAATTCTTCCTCCTCAAAGGTCACTAGCCTGGGAAATTTTTGTCTTTTTGCCCAATTGAATGGTTATTTTTTTAAAAATCCATAGATCTGAGTGAGAGAAAATAACTGACAATGGTATCTGGTCGGCCCAGGCTGACCAGGGGCTTCAGATACATGTTTTGGACCCAAAACCTCTGGACGTCACGCTTATCTCTCCAGTAACACCATGGCCTCTCAGCGGCATCCCCAGTTCCTCGATGCACTCAGCTCACTTTAGGAGGACCTCTGGTTGTGTCCAAAAAATAAGGAGAGCCCCCCAGAGACAAAACGGAATCAGTATGGCAAGGGGAAGAAGTTCCCACGAAAGAAGGAAAAAAGGGATTTTGCATGGTGTGACTCTCTTGTCTCTTTCCTCCACTGCAATGGGGGTGCTGAAACCAAGGCTCAGGAATGCCTTGTGTGTTGGGCCAGTCTTGATCCAGGAAATACGAGTGGGAGCAAGGAGGTCATGGAGAAACAAAGAGAAAAACAAGGGAGGCTTATCCTGGCTTGCTCCAAGCCTCGGGAAAGAAGGATAGATGGAAATCTGGGGGCTCTAATATAGTTCATCCCAGTACAGTCCACCAGAGAGAGACTGAGGCTGATGTCTTCGTGATTACAGAGACTGTGTGTTCCTGGAACACCCTCCATGCATATGTCCCTCCTGAGGCTGGTACAGGCAGTAACTGCCTTGATCCAAATTCAGAGATTTGGCATCCTAGTCCTGCCCATCAATCTTCCATTCTCATGGCTACCAACTCAGTCATTTATTTCTAAACTGGGAAAACATGCTGGAGCCATCTCTTGGCAAATCATTCAGCGAAATTCTACTATTAAGTAGCGTTAGGGATGAAATAGTTTTAGGAGCACGGGTTCTAATATGGAAGACTTTAGACTTAGAATTGAAAGATGGGGACAATAAGAACCCCACCCCCCCACTGCCGAGTTCTTCCTTGCTGGCTGCCTGCCCAAGGTCAGCTGCCTCCAGCAGCTCCATCAACATCCCCACTGACCAGTAGAGAGATGCCAAAGGCTTCACTGGCTGTGGCAGCCCCATTATGGTTCCAGCCAACTCTTTCCACAGATAGGAGCTTTTTAGAAAGCTTTCTGGGACATTCAACAGTGGATAACAATTCACCAAAGAGACAGCGATCAATCCACAGACTTCGTGAACTCTGCTTGCGTCTCATGTCATTGTATAAAGAGTCACGGTATGAATTTTAAAATAACCTTTATAGAAAAATTCACTAGTACGATAAATGTGGTCTTAGAATATGAGACAGATGGCCACCTCCTCATACCTGCAGTTAACTCAACATTTTTAGAGCCCCTTGCTAAAAGGAATTCTTCAAGACATCTACAAGCAACAGACTTAATAAGAAAGCTAAGTTATTCAACCTAATTATTCTTTAGGAAACTAAAATGAGATACTTTGAATCTTCCACTGTTGCAAACTCCCAGTGGGGGTGAGCCACCCTCAGGCTGCTTAATAATGACAGTTGTCCTCTACACAAAGCCACAGCTCTACACTTGCACTTTCCTTAATTAAAGATGGGTTTGTACAGATCTTTTCAGCCTCTCCCATTCTGATTTTCTGGTCAACATATATGAATGTGGGAGGAGGTTCCTTCCATGAACATGGAGTGAAGGACCCATCTTGTTTTTTCCTGAAAGTACTCTATCATTATGGGTCCTCCACGGATATTAATGGAATTAAAAAATAAAATAGGACCCCCACTTACTTAGTAGATAGCTAACTAATCTTAGTGGTTCTGAGGATAGTTAGGGAGAAAAGTCACTTCCTCATTCCCCTTAGGTGTGCTTTTCTTATCATTTCAAAGGACTATGGGAAAAGAGTAGAACAGGGAAGGGAAACTAACTGAGCAGCTACAATGTGACAGACATACCCGTGGAAGTCATCTCACTTATCCATCTTCCAGGTCAGGGAGCTCTTATAAGCACTATAATTTTACAACGGAAGAAACGGAGGTAAACAGGTTAAGTGCCCATGCCGTAGGATTCCCAAGGAATGAAATCAATGTCAAACCCAGGTCTTCCTGGTTCTAAGACATGTTCTTCCCACTAGAAAGCATGACATCACTTCCACTGTACAGGAAAGGGGCTCAGAAACTAGAAATAAAGTCTGTGCTCATTCTATGTGAGAAGGGAGGTACAGAATCTACTCTGTTCATAGCACGTGTCCCCACATGGAGAGTAAACATGAGATTTGGAGTTAGAAACTCAGCCCCCAAACATGTCCGTATAAACTTAAGCAATTTCTTCTCTCTTCCCAGCTTCATTTCCCTCTTCTTGGCTATAAAATGGTAAATTTAGACACAGGACTGTTATGATAATCTAAAATAATCCCAGGCAGGAGATAGCAAGTAAGTATGAACACATGTGTCACGATGCATCTAGTTACCTGGAGGACTATGTTGAGAAGCACAGAGATAAAATGAGGTAAAGATGTTTCAGTAAAGAATGCTGTGATCAATAGGCAACTTTGGGGACACAGTACGGAGATCTGTGATGTGAAGGTCATTCTTAACATCGCCCTATGCCTTGAATATGACAAAGTCTGAATAAAGCCCTACACTCTCTCCTGTCATAAATCTTTTCCACCATGTAGTACTAATGGAGAAGCCTAGAATACATGATGTGTGCTTCCCAAGGGCAAACAATACTGGCGCCCAACCTCAGTCATGAGCTCAAGAGTTCTACCTGGATGAGGAAGAGACAAAGAAAGAACTTTTTACCTCTATAACCTCCAAAACATGACGCTCCTCGTGACCTATTTATCTTGCTGGGACAACATATATCCTACACCCAGACCCTCCTTCCAACCCCAGCCCCTAAATGGTTGCTAGGTGTCCTGGCCCAGGTCTGGAAGCCACCCCAGAAAGCCATAATTTGAGTCACTTACCACTAGAGGCGAACACACGCAGAGCCCAGAGACAGTGAAGGAGGTTCTGGCTGTGGGACAGGTTTTTCCTGGCCAGAATCAATGTCACATCAAGTGCTTCTAATTCCAGGGCCTTCTGTCCAAACTTTTTATCTAGGAACATAAATCAATCCATCTTAGTTATATTCCACACTAATTCAGAGGGCTGCACAATGCATGGAGCACAGGAAGGCAAAGATGGAAGAGGCAAGAGAATGATCGTAACCAATGTGACTTTTCCCATCTGGTGGAAAATGCTACTAAGTACGTCCCCACTGGAACCAGGTGGGGGTCCAGAAGAGCCAAGGCAGGTTATACATAAAGTCCATTCATTCTTCAAATAATATTTATACGAGGCCTTGTGGGTTGTATGACATACACCCTGTATGTTCGCGTGCTTCTGGCTGACCTCAAATGTGAACTACAGTTTAGTAGGGTATAAATTTCTTCCTTTAAGATAGTTCTGGAATATAGGACACTTAAAATACAGAACGCCCAAATGCAACGTGTGGAACTTGATTGGCTCCTTCTTTGAACACATCTGTAATTGCCCCATTGGGAAACATTTGGAGAAACTGAAATGAGTATAAATTATACACGTATTGTCAATTTTGTTAGATTTGTAATCGTGGTATCAGGATTATGTAGGAAAATGTCTTTTCAAAGAAACACACTCGAACGTATTAAAGAGCAAAATTCTATCTGTAATTTTCCTGAATTGCTCTCAGACTCATTGAAGGTAGAAATGAGTAAAGCAGACAATATCCTAAACCCGGTTTGCCAATATCCACCCCTAGACCAAAGGACACCAGCAAAGAGACGGCCACCAAACTAATACGACCGGAGCCCTTCACCAGCACAGAGGCGTCTCTCGGGCTCCGTTAGGTCAGCCCCCCGCAGCCTGCACGGCAGTGGTGAGGGCTACAATCTGGCGATGGCAGAGGCTACAGTGACACAATGATGCCAGTAGGATGATCCAGGAGCAGAGCTTGGGAATCAGGGCCCTGATGGCCTTGGTCCATCCTGCGCCTCTCTCTCTTCTATGAAACCTACATGACTCTAGTTTGTCAGGCCCCCACACTAAGCAGGTGACATCCAACCTCACTTAATCCTTACAGCAAACCCTAAAATTAAGGACTCATACCTCTATTTTGTAGATGAGGGACCAATGGCTCAGAAAGGGTACATAATTTACCCAAGGCAGCACAGCTAATTAGTGCTGGAGTGAGGCCTGAAACCCAGATTTGACTTCTCAGTTAACACTACTTACAACCAGGGTAGAGATGGTGTCTCTCCCATCTTTCTCTATAGTTCACGTGGCTACTCTTTGCTTTGCTAACTTCTCCTCCTTCAAGTGTTGGCTCACCTGTTACCTCTCTCTGAACACACCATCTTAGAGGAACATCTCCCCTTTTTTTCCTTCCCTCACAGCTACTAGTTAATTATCATACTCTGCCTAGCGAATTATTCACTTTCAGCCCTTCCCCACTTTAATGTAAATTCCATAAGAGTACGCCCCTTATCTGTCTCGGTGACCAGTGTTCCCAACACCTGGCACAGTGCCCAGACATTCCGGGCTAAATATTCAATGAACGGACTGGATTGTTTTGTCGAGAACATGCTCGCGCAGGTGCTGGCCGAGGCCTGGGTCTTCGTCGTGACCTGCGGCGTGTGGAGTGGACTCAAAGCAGAGATCCAGACAGTGCAAGGTCAGGGTGCCCCTGAGCCCCTGCTCCCTTGTGGCCGCCTCTGCCTGCACTGGACAACACAGGTCCACCTTCCGCAGCACCGGAGCTCCCCCACTGTGACTTACGTAAGACCTCACGCAACTGAAGCTTGACTGTTAATGACTAGGTCGCAAGGGCTGCGTGCCTCCTGAGTGCCCGGGCTTTTTAAACTGTGCGCCGAGAGGTTCTACAGTTTTAGGGAGGTGCTTCAGGGTCTTCTCTGAGCAAAAAGAAATGGGTATGGAGCCTAAAGAGAAAGAGTTCGAGGCCCCCATCTTCTACTAGGGAAGCTCTGGTTCCATGTGGCTTCTAGTAGTAGGCTGAAAACTCACCCCCCAAAATTCGTGTCTACCTGGAACCTCAGAATGTTATCTTCTTTGGAAATGGGGTCTTTGCAGATTTAATTATTTAAAGTGAGGTCACAGGTTTACGTGGGCCCTGAATCCAGGGACCAATGTCCTTGTAAGAAGAAGACGACACACAGAAGGACACAGGGTAGGACACCAAGTGCAGACGCAGGTAGAAACTGAAGTGGCAGGTGTACAAGCCAAGAAACGCCACGGACGGCTGCAAACACAGAAGTTAGCAGAGGGCCATGGAACAGATTCTCCCTCGCAACCTCCAGAAGGAACCAACCTTGCCAACACCCTCATTTCAGGCTTTCCGGTCTCCAGAACTGTGAGAGAATATACTTCTGCTGTTTGGAGCCACCCAGTTTGTGAGAATTTGTTACAGGAGCCCCAAAAAACTCATACACTCATATAATGAACTTCTGTGTAAGAGTCTGCTCGTAGAAATGTTCTGTTTATTCTTAAAGTGCTTGAAAAACTGCCTGGGAGCACCTCCCCTCTGTCCCCCATCTGCTCCGTGCTCCATGTAGTCCCTGTCCGCTCGGGGCCCTGCCCTGGCACTGGACAACTAAATGATGTCTCCTGTGGGGCTGGTCCCGGCTCCAAAGTGTCTAGGACTTCCCTGCACTTCCCCACTAGAGTTTCCTAAATTGCTGTCATGAGAACACCCCCACAAGTGCCTTTTCAGCCATCTTTAGATCCGGAGGGTGTGGATACCTCGTAGGCCCACTTTGGCCAGCAGCCGGAAGAGGGGCAGCAGGACATCGTAGTCTGGAGAAGCTGACCTGGCTGTGTCCACCAGGGTCTGCAGAAGCGCCTCGCTGCCCCCTTTACTGATCATGTAGCGAATCCTTCGGTCAGTGCCTGAGGGAGAAAGCAGAGGACAGCTAGGCCCCCAAATAATCACCCTCATTTTCTTGGCGCAGAAAGCAGACCCCTCAGACAGAGACAGAGCAAGGATCGGTTCACCCCAGAAACGATTTGGCCCAGAAACCAAAACAGAGTGGTTTCTGAAGGAACTCATGTAAAGCTGTACTTTTAGGGAAGGGATTGGGGTAGGGGTGAGACACGGAGAAATAATGGAATATTTAAGCACCTAGGTGTGTCCACCTGCATAAACCACTTTCCTGAGAAGCAACGGAATCTCAGTGTACGTATGCGTTCTTGTGTGTGTGGCTTCCGTGGAATCATATCTTTAATAGAAAAGGGAGTATCAGTATCCCTCTGGTATAGGCTTGAGTCCTCTGTAATGAGGATCCGGATGACAGTTTGCCTGAAATAATTTAATTGGTGATGTAACAGCTTTATGGTGCTGGTCTCCAGCAACTGACAAGAGGAATATAGGGAAACAGCTAGAGTGCTTCTTTAAGAAACAGACAGCCAGTCATCCATGTCGGGAGTTTTGAAAAGGGCCTGGAGCTAGGATCAGGTACATTGGTCTTTCTACCTAGTAAGAGTCGTGAACATGGATCTCCCCCACCTTGCCCCAGGACAAGCTCAAAAGCAGGGATTAGTTTCAACTTGGAAGGGGACCCCCGTGGTTGTCCATGCGCCGTGCATGGTTGACCCAGCGAGGTGGCCAATACGGTGGGACGTTATCAGCAAAGAAGACCCTCCGGTGTTTCAGCCGACAAAAAGGAACATTGTCTACGAAAGAAGTGGTGATCAGCTCCTATAGCAGAAGGTCAACTCCAAGGTTTCAGTGCACGGGTTCCAGGCACCTGGGCAAAGTGAAGGAGGCACCATCCCACAAGACAAAAGCTTCATCTATACAGGGTACCACACTCAGAAGGCTGTAGGGGAGTCACCCCACCATCGGAGGGCAGCACAGCCTATGGGAAAACCTCACCGGGACAGGACCCTCCCTCCTGGAACTGAAGCCAGATGCGCCTGGACAGGGGACGGACGTTTGCTTTGGTCCTGCCCGTTTGGTGTGCAGATTTCTTCCCAATGCAATGTGCCCGGCATCCGTAGCAACGAAAACTGAGTGAGTGCTGAAATGTCCGAGAGGGTCTATTTTCCAGAACCCTCACACTGAAGTGAGCTAGCAGAGGCATGCCCCAGTTAACCAGCTGATTCCAGTGTGGTGAACTATGTCATCGTTTCTCTGAAAACTTAATAGCTTACCACACCAAGTCGAGCTCCTGCCTCATATTCCCATCTGCACTTGACACATGTTAGGAAGCTGCCAATACCTGACTCTAAATGGGCGGAGGGAGTGGAGTAGAGGAAGGGGAGGGGTAGAGTCACGAGGGCTGGCTCTCTCCAAGACAGCCGCAGGCCCCTGGAGGACCTTGGGTTAACCACAGATGAGACACCATAGAATAACCACCCAGAGCCAAACCTCCTCCTACGTTTAGGTCACCATGGGGTGGGTGACAAGATAAAGAGCCCGACTAAGCCTGAGGTACAACCAGCCCACTCTGGGGGCAGTTGATTGTCTCTGACAGAAAACATGACCTGGAGCACCGCCACCTACAGACCACACAGAATCCAGGAGACACCACAGCCACAGCACCCCCGCCACCTCCTCCCACTCACCAACAGAAAGAAGATCTCCGAGGACCTGGAGGATGGTCAGGATGGACTCCTTATCAGAGGACCTCTGCAATGAAAACACAGGCACCATCGTCATGAAGGAACGCACAAGGAGAGACGCAGTGTGGTCACGGACGCCCCTGGACCTGGCAGGGCTGTGCTCCCTTCCATTGAGAGAGACTTGCAGCAGTGAGAAACAGCTGAAGGGACGTTCCTTCAGTGGTGGCCGTGAGGGGACTCACAGAGACAAGAGTCCCAGGGGCTCTGCCTCCATATTTAGCCTTCAGGACCCCATTTTGGGGGACCCATTTTGTAGTAACACCAGCACGATGGGCGACAGAAGAAGCAACACACATCGCTCGTATATGGCATTTAAGAAACAAAACCAAGGAAGAAAGGGGGAAAGGAGACCAACCAAAAAACAGACTTTCGACTACAAAGAACAAACTGATGACTGGAGGGGAGGTGGGTAAGGGGAAGGGGGAAACAGGTGAAGGGGATGAAGACACGCTTATCCTGATGAGCCCTGAGTGACGTAGAGAATTGCTGAATCCCTACAGGGTACACCTGAAACTAATAGAACACTGTATGTTAGCTATACTAGAATTAAAATGTGTAAAAAGAAAAAAAAAATGTGTTTCTTAAACAAAAAAAAAAGGAAAAAAAAATAAAAAGTATCAATACTTCAGGCAGAGACAGCAAATGAGAAGGGGTTTCGCCCCCCAAAATGGCTAAGCAGGCTCAGATTGCTTTGAAATACAGGGCAGAGAGCAGGAACAGAAATCCACGAAAATGTTCTGAGGGAAAGGCGTCCCTGAGTGGGAAGGATGATTACTCATGTTCTCAAGAGAAACCTAAGGTAGGACCAAATCCCACCACTCCCACACCCTGGTAACCATCATTCTACTCTGTTTTTTCTACATTGCACACTTAAGTGATATCCTATAGTCTTCCCCTGGGTGACTTATCTCACACAGCATGATGTCCTCAAGGTCCATCCACGCTGTTGCAAATGGGAGGATTTTCTTTCTCATGGCTGAATAATATTCTGAAGTGTGTGTGTATGGGTGTATGGGTGTGTGGGTGTGTGTGTGTGTGTGTGTGTGTGTATTGGACTTCATGGCTCCTTTATGGTTCAGTATGGTAGCAATCTGCGAAACATGTATTGCACACTTTCCCGAGAACAAACTGTGTTCCAGGTGCTAGGATCACAGATGTACACAAAACTTTGTCTCTTCTCTAAAGATTGGTATCGCTATCCATTCTTCTGTTGATGGACACTTCGGTTGCTTCCATGTCTTGGCTACCATTAAGCCTGCTGCAGTGAACATGGGTGTGCACAGGTATCTCACCAAGAGTCTGATTTCAATTCTTTTTTATACATACCTAGGAATCCTATCTTTTATACTACTCAAGAATATTAACTTGAAATGGCTCAAAGATTCAAATGTAAGACCTGAATCCACAAAACTCCTAGGGAAAACACACACACACACGGGGAAAAAAGCCCTGACATGGGTTTTGGCAATGATTTCTGGGGTAAGAAACCGGAACAAAACCTAAAATAAACAATTGGGACCATATTACACTAAAGAAAGAGCTTCTGCACAGCAAAAGAAACAATCAATAAATTGAAAAGGCAACATGGGAGAAAATACTCACAAAGCAAATATCTGATAAGGGACGGATATCCAAAATATATATTAAAAAATTAATACAACTCAATAGCAGAAAAACAAATAATCCAATATTAAAATGGGCAAAAGACCTAAACAGACATTTTTTCAAAGAAGACGTACAGATGGCTGATATGTACATGAAAAAATGCTCAACATCACTCATCATCAGGAAAATACAAATCAAAACACAGTGAGAGATCACCTCAGACCTACAACAATGGTTTTTATCAAAAGACCAGAGATAACAAATGTTGGCAAGAATGTGGAGAAAAAGGAGCCCTATATGCTATTTTTTTTAGGTAGGTTATTTAAGGCAAAGCTTTAATCTTCACCTTAGTAAGTCTCAGGTTCCCCATCTACTTCAAAGACCTTAATAACTCCCCCTTACATGTAGGATAAAGTCAGAGCTCCTTAATAAGGTTCCCAAAGCTCCTCATGGTCCTGTCCCACTTACCTCTCCAGCTTTATTATTCATTACTACACCCCTGCCCAAAGCATATGCTTTGACAATGTGGAACTACTCGTTTCCTGCTCAGCCACATAGGTCTTGCCCCTGTACCCATGATCACGCTATTCCCTCTTCCTGAAGCCTGCTCAGTGCCAGTTATCCCCCATGTATACCAATGTCTCCTATAGGATTCCAACCCCACTCCCTGCAAACTGGGTCTGGGTCTCTCTGCTCCCCACATCACTCTGGGCTACTTCTGACAGTGCATTCACCACATGGTACTTAGGCATAACTTCCCACTCTACCCCCACTCTATATTAATCTCTAGAGAAGGGACCAAAGTTTGTGCATATCTGTATTCCCAGCACCTGCAACTGAGGCCATTGCAGGGCAAGTGTGCAATGTTTTTCAGACTGCAAACAAACTGAACCATAAAGGAGCCATCAAGTCCAATACCACATCCCAAGAGCGGTGCTTACACTTTCTCCAATCCTGGGCTTAACACCTTCCAGGAACTCACACTTCAATGGCTCAGCCAGGACAAGGAGGGGATGTGTCAAATGAGGCCCCAGCTTGGGTGCAAAATTCTAATTTTAAAATGCGGTAATCAGGATAAATGATATTTTAATGCTCTATTTTTTACAAATCAAAATCAATGCAAAAAAAATTCATAGTGATCAAAGAGCAGCCTGGGTGACTTAGTTGGTTGTGTGTCTGCCTTCAGCCTATGATCCCAGGATCCCCAGTTTGGGCTCCCTGCTCAGCAGGGAATGCGTTTCTCCCTCTGCCTCTCCCCCCACTGCTCGAGTGCTCTCTCTCAAATAAATAAAATCTTATTTTTAAAAAAATCTGTAATGAGCTTAAAATAGCAAAAATTAACTCTTTAACTCCTTTTCCAGGTGTGATGAGACATCTGGGGACCCTTAGGGACTTGGTAGCTACACGTCCCCAGAAAAAGACTCGGGTTTGCTCTGACATCTCCACTGAGCGCTGTGGCTTAAGGAGGGCAGTCTCAGCGGGCACTGGGCTGACATCTCCCATCATGTGAGTGCCACCCTCCAGCAAATATCATCCATACATGCGCGCAGTGTCAGTGCTTCCTGCCCCTCCAGAGTCTACCCAGGCCTGGGAACACAAACCAAGAAGCAACAGAGCCATCATTCTGGGGAGTTTGCTGGTCTTTGATTCTAGTACAAATTCCAATGTGTGTTTGCTTGGGGACAGGTGTCCCTACACCAAAAAACCATGCTTCGGATGCCAGTGTGTCATAGGATTAAACTCAATTCAGACACTATGTACTCGGAGACAGCATAGATTCCACAGGCTAAGGGTTCAGTCCCACAACCCTGCTCGCTGCTTTAGACTCCAGCCTCAACCTCCAGGTTTTTACTGTACAGCTGGTCCTTGAACTACACAAGTTTGAGCGCACAGGCCCACTCGCATGGGGATTTTTTTTCCCATAAATACAGTAATGTGCTCAAAATGTATTTTCCCTTATTATTTTAAAGGAACTTTCTCTACCTGACTTTAAGAATACAGCACCTCATACAGTTAACACACGGAATATGTCATCAATACCGCTTCTAGTCAACCCTAGTCTGTTTATTAAAGTTTGGGGGGGAGACAAAAGTTATATGAGGATTTTTGACTGCGTGAGGAGTCAGTGCCCACGTTGTTCAGGGTCAACTGTACTTCTGAGCCACCGGCTATAAATTAAAGATTCCCTCCTCAGGTGCCACTAACTCGCTAGAGCAGCTCACAGAACTCAGAGAAACATTTTACTTACTAGGTTACCAGTTTGTTATAAAAAGGTTGTAACTCAGGAACAGCTGGGAGCTTCCGCATTGTCCCGGGGCATCTCCGCCTGTTCACACTGAGCCTTAAAAATAACACTGCCAGTTAATTTACCAGCAAAATTGGGTTTGTTTGGGAATAACACACGCCCCGCTTTCTGCAAAAGTACAACCAGGTCCTGGGACCGAAGCCGCGCGGGGCTCCTTTATAGAGGGAAGGTGGGCGGGGCCGCTACAAACGAAAGAGCCATTGGAGAAAACTGGGAGTTCAAAATATAGGGGCTTTTCATTGGCTGAGTTGTGGCGGCCCCTCATTGGCTGGGCTGTTGCCAGGGGAAGAAGGAAAATTTTCTTCCTCCTGCTGGGATAGTAAAGTAAAATGTATCTACCTGGGAGGCAAGTTTCTTCCTGTTGGGTCTGCAATTGACAACTGGTAGGGCAAGGGAGCTTCCCGGGCTCGCCCCTCCACTCCATTCTAAACAGGGCTTACTTTTGTTAATTTTTACTCCACCGAGCTAAGAGTTTTCTGAACACTGTCGTTTTGGGGTTTTACTTGTATTAAAATTTTTTTTTTTTAAAGGGGGTTGCTGGCTGGCTCAGTAGGTAGAGCAAGAGATTCTTGATCTCAGGGTTGTGAGTTGAAGCCCCACATTGTGTATAGAGATTACTTAAAAATAAAATCTTAAAAATGTGTATATATATTTCTCTTTCTTGTTATAAATCACATGATCACAGCAGGACTGCGGCCCTTCGAAAGTGGACCCAAAGGTGGCTCAGGGTAAAAAACTAAGTCCCTGAATGGTTCCTGATAGTCCCTAATGGTTTTGGATCCACCTTCAGCACCCCCAAAATTGCTCTCCTTTCTAAGAAGAGGCAAGGGGATAAAAGGTAAAAAGCCAGGCTCTACCATATTGTGTAACTTGTAAAATGCTGGATTCATGTGTTAGAATCAAGAGCCAAGAAATGGAACATAAGAGAGGAAACGGGGAGATGAGAAAAAGAGGAAAAGAGAAAAACTAATACAGTAGAAACTTATTGAAGAGGAATAAAAGATCCAGATTTAATTTCCTTTCATTCAATTATTCATGCACTCATCCCACAAATGTTCACTGAAAACCATCTACGTTCCAGGCACCAGGCTAAAGAT